CCATGTAGTGAAATAGTTCACTAAAACTTATTCTTGCAGTCTAACTGAAACTCATTTTTTAAAGTTTCCTGATACCCATTAATAGATTGAAAGACCGGTAAACACTTTTTTACAATCTTTGCTTAACAAACTTTGCATCTAAATCTAGATGACAGCAACACAAAGGAAATAGGTGTATGAAGTTTTGATTTTGAGATTAAAGTTAGTCCAAAAATGTAAGTAAATGTGGACTATGTCCTTGTGGAAGCAGGCAGAAGAAAGGCCTCTTTCACTTAGCGAATTTATACAAGTGATCTATTATTTACTTCTGGTTTTCTAGTAAAGCTATGTTCACATTTAAATTACCGCTTCATTTAAAATGTATGCTCATATATGATTTAAGGTACAAATCCAACTTCTGTTGTTTACCAAAAGGTTACTTACATTTTTCTAACACTGTATATAAAACAAGTCTATGTTCTTCCACTGACTTCAAATGACACCTGTATAATACTAAATTCTTATGTGCATTTAGGTCCACTCCTGGATGTCAAATTCCCATTTTGTGATTATCCAAGTATCAGGAACAAACTTCCCATTTTAAAATTTAATGTTTAATTGACCAATAATAATTATATACATCATATATTTCAGGAGTACAATGTGATATTTTGCTACATGTTTATGTTGTTGAATAATTAAATCAAATTAATTTAAAAATCCATCACTTTACATACATATTTTCTGTGGTGAAAACATTTAAAATTTACTTCAGCAATTTTAAAACATGCAATAATTATTGTCTGCAGATCACTAAATCCTTCTAACTAACTGAAATTTTGTACCCTGTGATTAGCATCTTCCCTTTCCCCATTTACACCATTCCCCTAGCCTCTAGTAACCACCACTTTACTCTGTTTCTCTGACTTTTTTTAAGATTCCACATGTAAGTGCGAGCATGCAGTATTTGTTTTTTATGCCTGTCTTATTTCACTTAGCATAATGCCCTCCAGATTTATGCACATTATTGAAAATAACATAACTGTATTTTTTAAGATTGAATCATGCTATATTATGTATATATACACCACATTTTCTTTATCCATTAATCCATTTGACTGACATTTGAGTTGTTTCCATATATTGGCTATTTTAGCTTCTGTGCTGGGGCACTTTCAGGCTGCTTGGTGCCAGGGGGCTGCCCAATATTGGCTATTTTAAATAATTCTGCAATGAACATGGTAGTCCAGATATCTTTTGTACATATTGATTTAACTGCTTTTGGATATACAGGTTGAGCATCCCTTATCTAAAATGCTTGGGACCAGAAGTGTTTGGAGTTTTTTTTTTATATTTTTTTTTTTTCAATTTTTAGGATATTTGCATATACATAATGAGATATCTAGGGGATGGAACCCATTGAAATACAAATAGGTTTGTTCCATATACTCTTTATACACATAGCCTGAAGGCAATTTTATATAGTTTTTTAATGATTTTATGCATGAAACAAACATTTGTATATATTGAATCATCAGAAAGAAAAATATCACTATCTCACACACCCATGTGGAAAATCTGTGGTTGTTTATCATCACCATCATTTCTCACTCTAAATTTATATGCTACTGATAAGCAATCACTTTCTTACATTTATTCACATATAAATACTTAACAGTAAAAATTATGACATGCTGTTAATACAGTGAAAAAATATTATGTTCAGTGTTACAAAATAGCACAGTAGCATCATCATAATACTTGTATTAACTTAAACAACAAACCACAGCAGCCTTTTAGTTTCCACCCATGATGCTGTGTTTTGATTAACAGTTTACAGTACATTGAATTTTTTTTTCTTTTTTTTTTTAGGAGAGAAGAAACATCAGAAGCAGCTGAAGGGCCACGAAATGTGCCCTCGTCCTCAAGGGACAGGCAGGCATTCTGCTGGATGGCTTTTAAAATGTTTCCTCCAGAGTCATCTGTCTCATTAATAACAGTTTTTGTCTTAGAAGTCTCTTTGATCTTATAAACAGACATAATTTCTTGTTCTATTATGTATGCACAGTATTCTAGTCCTCAATAAGACTATCACATATTTTCACCATGTTATCTATAGGCCTTTCCCTCCCCCCCCCCGTTAACAATATCATCTTAATTTTCACCATTACCAAAATCATTTGATTAAGAGTCATTTTGGCTATTTCACCTACAGTCAATGAATGAAATGCTGGAACTTCATTAGTGATATTAAAAACATCTTTGATAGTCACTTCTTCCATATTACTGATAGATGCTGAGGATACATGTTTTGTATATGTAAGGAGGTAAAACATTATTTTGTTCTTACTTTACATATATAATTATTTAGTCACGTCCTTATCATCATCACTGAAAACAGCTGCAGGCCAGAGGTTGTGCCAGGCATGTACAACTGTATCTTTACTCACTGTGTTCCAATTGTTAGCAAAAACATATGGGACAACCTTCATGCTCAACTCCTTCTGAAAACCTTCCACACCCATGCCTCTGTCCACTACTGCTAGCATACTATTCAAAAGTGTCTTATATTTACTCTTTATTTATGTAAGGATACCCAGGCGACACAGCTGAAGTAAAAAGTCACATTTGGGGGAAGGTACATTGCACAAACAGTATTTTTTATAATTTTACCTGGAGGATAAGCAAAACAATTGTAAAGAAATAGAATCTTGCAGTCATTATCCAATCACCTTCCCTGCAGTAAGCATAAGCTTCTGGTCCAAAACTGTTTGGGAGAAAAATCAGAAAACATGTCCCTGGTGACACATACCCTTCTGTTAACATAATAATGGACTAGTAATAAATTCACTCCTTAAAACCAGTGAAAACGCAAGCTTTTGCCTATCACAGGAAGTTTAGTCTTATGCATGCCTGCTGCATTAGCAAATCCCAACAGAATTATTCTGTGCTTTGCATCCTTAATTTCTGTCTCATCACCTGTAGTGAATGTTTTTCTAGGGCAATAATTCCAAAACGTGATATTTTATCATCATTGTAGACTTGTTCTGACATCAGATTTTCATCAGCAATGACCTTGGTAAACTTGTCATTGAATTTCCCTGCTGCTTTATGATCAGCAGATGCTTTATCACCACAAATTTCAATAATTTAATATTTTGTATGTTTATAAATCTCTGAAACTAGGTTGATGTATATTCTAGTTCTTTTCAATTTTTTGTTCATTGTGATAGATCTTTGTTTCATGATCAGCATACCTTTAAGAGGCATGTGTTCACTGCAGTGCTCATAGATCCACTCTTTCAGTATGCAATATAGATCTTCATTTGATTTTTAAGTTCATGCAGTTTTTAAAAATTTGTTAACTTTTGTTCATCACTCTCAGCCTAAAACATCAAAAGTTTAGCATTCTTTTTCTTCTGATCATATATGGTGTTCATTCCAATACCATACTCTTCTATAAGACATTTCACACTTACACTGCTATCTAGTTTCTACAACAACTTGACTTTCTATGTCACAGATAAACATAAATGCGTCCTCTTCTATTTATTTATTAATTAAATAAATTATATTCATTAGTAAATAATTTATATAAAAATATATTTATTATTCATGCATTAATTTTATTTATTAAACATAAATGCTTTCCTTTTATCACTGTTACCCATAAAAATATATGCAGGCCTTCTTGATATTTTACCCTGTATCTTTATAACTACAGAACAGAGAATAAACCAAAAATAGCAAAAATAAGTAAAGCATGTAGGTATTGGCCCCATGCCGGGTATCATGGGAAACCTATTGTTGGTACATGTAGCCTATGCACATACAATTTATTGCATTTTGTGGGTATGTTTGTTTGTAGGAATCTGGGAATGCACAGAAAAGGTATACTGCAGCTGAAAGAAGCTTGGAAAATCTTTTTTCCCTTGAGGATACGAATAAACTGTGTCTTGTGCACCTGTTGTGAATGCAACCTGTCACATGAGGTCAGATGTGAAATTTTTCACTTGTGACATCATCCAAGAACTCCAATTTGGGAGCATTTTGGATACTTAATTTCTCGATTACAGCTATTCAAAATGTATATCCAGAAGTGTGATTTCTGGATCATATGATAATTCTATTTTTAGTTTTCTGAGGAAACTTCAGACTGTTTTATATAATAGGTCTTATTTATTACCATCTTATATTTTTCATATCCTCATATAATTATTCTCATTTCAGTACTCCTTCAGAATGTTTTATATGTACTTGTTTATTTTTCTCTACAGGCATGATAATCAGTTTTTCTAGCTTCCCATAAAACACTGTTAGTGTTTTTATTGGGTTTATATCAAATTTATAGACTAGTTTATGGAGGATTAATAACATGATGTTTTTGACCATTTATATTTAGGGTAGTATATATATATTGCTTATCTTCTTTTTTTTGTCCTTCATGAGTGCTTTTACAGATTTATCTTTATATAAAATTGCCTATTGGTGTTAATATATCTAATACATTTAGTCTGTTTAATAGTGATTGTTAAGGCATGACGTGTTCCATCACACTCTCTATTCTGTTTCAATAATAACCATATTGGTGATTATGCATTCATATAAAAGTTATTAATTTTTTTCCCATTTATTTTATTGCATTTTAGGTTTTGGGGTACATGTGAAGGACATGCAAGATTGTTGCATAGGTACACACGTGGCAGTGTGATTTGCTGCCTTCCTCCCCATCACCTACATCTGGCATCTCTCCCCTTGCTATCTCTCCCCAACTCCCCACCCCCCACCGTCCCTCCCCTATTTCCCCCCAACTGACCCCAGTGTGTAGTGCTCCCCTCCCTGTGTCCGTGTGTTCTCATTGTTCAACACCTGCCTATGAGTGAGAACATGCAGTGTTTGATCTTCTGCTCTTGTGTCAGTTTGCTGAGAATGATGGTTTCCAGATTCATCCATGTCCCTACAAAGGACGTGAACTCGTCCTTTTTATGGCTGCATAGTACACCATGGTGTATATGTGCCACATTTTCTTTATCCAGTCTATCATCAATGGGCATTTGGGTTGCTTCCAGGTCTTTGCTCTTGTAAACAGTGCCACAATGAACATTCGTGTGCATGAGTACTTATAGTAGAACGATTTATAATCCTTTGGATATATATACCCAGTAATGGGATTGCTGGGTCAAATGGAATTTCTATATCTAGGTCCTTGAGGAATCGCCACACTGTCTTCCACAATGGTTGAACTAATTTACACTCCCTCCAACAGTGTAAAAGTGTTCCTATTTCTCCACATCCTCTCCAGCATCTGTTGTCTCCAGATTTTTTAATGATCACCATTCTAACTGACATGAAATCATATCTCAATGTAGTTTTGATTTGCATTTCTCCAATGACCAGTGATGATGAGCATTTTTTCATATGTTTGTTGGCCTCATGTATGTCTTCTTTTGTAAAGTATCTGTTCATATCCTTTGCCCACTTTTGAATGGGATTGTTTGATTTTTTCTTGTAAATCTGTTTTAGTTATTTGTAAATTCTGGATATCAGCCCTTTGTCAGATGGGTAAACTGCAAAAATTTTTTCCCATTCTGTTGGATGCCAATTCACTCTAATGACTATTTCTTTTGCTGTGCAGAAGCTGTGGAGTTTGATTAGAACCCATTAGTCTATTTTGGCTTTTGTTGTCAATGCTTTTGGTGTTTTGGTCATGAAGTCCTTGCCTACACCTATGTCCTGAATTATTTTGCCTAGATTTTCTTCTAGGGTTTTTATGGTGTTAGGTCTTATGTTTAAGTCTTTAATCCATCTGGAGTTAATTTTAATGTAATGTTTCAGGAAGGGGTCCAGTTTCTGTTTTCTGCACATGGCTAGCCAGTTTTCCCAACACCATTTATTAAACAGGGAATCCTTTCCCTATTGCTTGTTTTTGTCTGGTTTGTCAAAGATCAGATGGTTGTAGATCTGTTGTGTTGCCTCCAAGACCTCTGTTCTGTTTCATTGGTCTATATATCTGTTTTGGTACCAGTACCATGCTCTTTTGATTACTGTGGCCTTGTAGTATAGTTTGAATTCTGGTAGTGTGATGCCTCCCGCTTTGTTCTTTTTGCTTAGGAATGGCTTGGCTATGCGGGCTCTCTTTTGGTTCCATATGAAGTTTAAGGTGGTTTTTTCCAGTTCTGCGAAGAAGGTCATTGGTAGCTTGATGGGGATAGCATTGAATCTGTAAATGACTTTGGGCAGTATGGCCATTTTCATGATATTGATTCTTCCTAACCATGAACATGGAATGTTTCTCCATCTGTTTGTGTCCTCTCTTATTTTGTTGAGCAGTGGCTTGTAGTTCTCCTTGAAGAGGTCCTTTATGTTCCTTGTTAGTTTTATTTCTAGGTATTTTATTCTCTTTGTGGCAATTGTGAATGGAAGGTCGTTCTTTATTTGGCTCTCTTTACATCCGTTGTTGGTGTATAGGAATGCATGTGATTTTTGCACATTGATTTTGTATCCTGAGACATTGCTGAAGTTGCTTATCGGTTTCAGGAACTTTTGGGCTGAGACTATGTGGTCTTCTAGATATACAATCATGTCGTCTGCAAATAGAGACAATTTGACTTCCTCCTTTCCTATTTGAATAATCTTTATGTCTTTTTCTTGCCTGATTGCTCTTGCTAGAACTTCTAGTACTATATTGAATAGGAGTGGTGAGAGAGGGCATCCTTGTCTAGTGCCAGGTTTCAAGGGGAATGCTTCCAGTTTTTGTCCATTCAGTATGATGTTGGCTGTTGGTTTGTTGTAAATAGCTTTTATTATTTTGAGATACATTCCGTCAATACCTAGCTTATTGAGGGTTTTTAGCATAAAGGGCTGTTGAATTTTGTCAAAGGCCTTCTCTGCATCAATTGATATAATCATGTGTTTTTTGTCTTTGATTCTGTTTATGTGGTGAATTACGTTTATAGACTTGGATATGTTGAATCAGCCTTGCATCCCCGGGATGAAGCCTACTTGATCATGGTGGTAAGCTTTTTGATGTGCTGTGGCAATCGGCTTGTCAGTATTTTATTGAAGATTTTTGCATCTACAGCTAGTGCTCGACTTACGACCACGGACCTGTCGTAACACGATTTGGTCGTAGGTTGAGTTGAGTAGGCTATATGTACAGTTGAAATGGTGCACGCAGAGATGGTATTGCTGCCGGAAGCTGGTCCGCACTGTTGTAAGCCCAGCTGGGCAATGTTTGCACTTCCAGACGAGGAGCAGTTGTGGCTAGCAATTATGGTCATAAAGTCAAATGGTCATAAGTTGCATAGGTGGTAAGCCGATCAATACCTGTATGTTCATCATGGATACTGGCCTGAAGTTTTCTTTTCTTGTTGAGTCTCTGCTGGGTTTTGGAATCAGGATGATGTTGATCTCATAAAATGATTTGGGAAGAATTCCCTCTTTTTGTATTGTTTGGAATAGTTTCAGAAGGAATGGTACTGGCTCCTCTTTGTATGTCTGGTAGAATTTGGCTGTGAACCCGTCTGGACCCGGGCTTCTTTGGGTGATAAGTTCTTAATTGTTGCCTCAACTTTAGACCTTGTTATGGGTCTGTTCAGGATTTCGGCTTCTTCCTGGCTTAGGCTTGGGAGGAGGCAAGTGTCCAGGAATTTATCCATTTCTTCCAGGATTACTAGTTTATGTGCATAGAGTTGTTTGTAATAATCTCTGATGATTGTTTGAATTTCTGTGGAATCTGTGGTGATATCCCCTTTATCGTTTTTTATGGCATCAATTTGTTTATTCTCTCTTTTCTTTTTTATTAATCTGGCTAGTAGTCTGTCTATTTTGTTGATCTTTTCAAAAAACCAGCTCCTGGATTTATTGATTTTTTGAAGGGTTTTTTGTGTCTCTATCTTCTTCAGTTCTGCTCTGATCCTAGCTGTTTCTTGTCTTCTGCTAGACTTTGAGTTATTTTGATCTTGCTCTTCTAGGTCTTTCAATTTTGACAATGGGGTGTCAATTTTTGATCTCTCCTTGCTTCTCATGTGGGCACTTATTGCTATATATTTTCCTCTAGAGACTGCTTTAAATGTGTCCCAGAGATTTTGGTATGTTGTGTCTTCATTCTCGTTGGTTTTGAAGAACATCTTTATTTCTGTCTTCATTTCATTGTTTATCCAGTCAACATTTAAGAGCAAGTTGTTCAGTTTCCACGAAGCTGTGCTGTTCTGGGTTAGTTTTTGAATTCTGAGTTCTAACTTGATTGCACTGTGTTCTGAGAGACTGTTTGTTATGATTTCCATTCTTTTGCATTTGCTGAGGAGTGATTTACTCCCAATTATGTGGTCAATTTTAGAGGAGGTATGATGTGGTGCTAAGAAGGATGCATATTCTGTGGATTTGGGGTGGAGAGTTCTGTAAATGTCTATTAGGTTTGCTTGGTCCAGGTCTGAGTTCAAGTCCTGGATATCCTTGTTAATTTTCTGTCTGGTTGATCTGTCTAATATTGACAATGGGGTGTTAAAGTCTCCCACTATAATTGTGTGGGAGTCTAAGTCTCTTTGTAAGTCTTTAAGAACTTGCCTTATGTATCTGGGTGCTCCTGTATTGGGTGCGTATATATTTAGGATCATTAGCTCTTGTGTTTCCTTGATCCTTTTACCATTATGTAATGTCCTTCTTTGTCTCTTTTGATCTTTGTTGCTTTAAAGTCTAATTTATCAGAGATGAGAATTGCAACTCCTGCTTTTTTTTGTTCTCCATTTGCTTGGTAAATCTTCTTCCATCCCTTTATTTTGAGCCTTTGTGTATCCCTTTTAGGAGGAGAGGTGTTCTGGTTTCGGGTGTTTTCATCCTTTTTGCACTGGTTTCTTCCCATCTTTATGGATTTATCCACCTGTCGTCTTTGTAGTTGCTGGCTTTCAGATTAGGTCTCTGAGTGGACGTTCTGTTTGTTGATGATGAGGTTATTTCTGTTTCTTGGTTTTCCTTCTGACAGTCTGGCCCCTCTGCTGTAGGTCTGCTGAGGTCCACTCCAGGCCCTGCTTACCTGAGGATCACCTGCAGCAGCTGCTGAACAGTAAGGGTTGTGACCAGTTTTCTTCTTCTGCTATCTTTGTCCCAAAAAGATACCTGCCAAGTGTCAGTCTGATTTCTCCTTTGTGATGCGGGTTTGGATGTACAGGGGTCGGGGAGCTGCTTGAGGAGACAGTCTATTCTTTATAGGAGCTCAAATGGTGAGCTGTGAGCTCCATTGTTCATTCAGAGCTGCTGGGCAGGTACATTTAGGTCTGCTGCAGCAGAACTCATAAACCACTTTTTGTTCCCAGGTGCTCTGTCTTAGGGATTTAGGGCTTTATTTATGAGTTTCTGTTATGCTGCTGCCTTCTTTTTTTTTTTTTTTCCTTCAGAGCTGCCCTGCCCAGCAAGGAGGCAGCCTAGTCACTGTCTGCCTGTAGAGGCTTTGCTGAGCTGCTGTGGGCTCCGCCCAGCTGCCGAGTGAACTTTCCTGCAGTCCTGTTTATATGGGTGTAATTAGAACTCCCTTGGCAATGGTGGCCCGCCTCTGTTGAGGAGTCTCTCTGTAGTGGCGGGTTGCCTCGGCAATGGTGAGCTGCCTCAGCAATGGCGGGTTGCCTTGGCAATGGTGGGCTGCCTCAGCATTGGAAAACTACCTCCATAGTGGTGGGCTGCCTCGGTAATGGCAGATACCCCTCCCTCACAGAGCTGGACCGTCCCGGGTTCAGCTGTGCTTGCTGTGAAACTCTCAATCCAGAGAGTTTCTGATTGCTGTTCTTTTGTGGGGGTGGGACCAGCCGAGCCTGATCGCCTGGCTCCCTGCCTCAGAGCCTTTTTTTTTTTTTAAGTTGGTGTTCCAGTCCCGTGTTGAAGAGGCACCAGGATCTGTGTGTTTTCCTGTGCGGTGACTCACTGTGCTGGCTTAAACAGCAGTACTGAGATTTGTGGCACTTTTTTTGCCCTGGAATCTACTGTCCTGGTTCCCTGTTCAGTCCCCCTTTTAAACAGATGAATGGGTGACTTCCTGTGGCTCCAATCGCCAGGCAAAAGGGCACCCGGACCAGTGTATCTTGTAT